ATCCTCATACATCAGCATATGATGCTTCCTTAAGTTTTTATTTACTGTACTCTATGTGAATTTCAACAAGGAAATGTTAGACTGCTCAGAAAAATGGGCTGTAGCTTTTTTCAGTGCTCTGTGATCCCAAGAAGCCAGTTTCGACCCAGGCTGTCAGGCCATCATCCTGGATTAAACTCAGTAGATAATTTTCCCATCCTAAAATTAGGCCCTCATGCAGCCCTGCCTTTCTTTTCTTCTTCTGAGTAATCCCTGCTATTTGCCTACATCATGCATTTATTTATTTTTCTAAATTGTGGCTCCTATTTCCCATAAGCATAAACGATGCTGACTGACCACTGCAGCCCATCACACATATCATTGACTCTGAACTCCACTATGGCTCCTCGTTTCTATTGCTGAGTATTTTATATGCACAGTTCAGCAAACACGTGATCCCAAATTGGATTTTTCTACAGAAGCAGCTGGACACACTGTGCCACACTCACTGATGGAAAGAAATGTTTAGCCTGACATAATTGCCTCCACCGTCAACCATAGTGTCTGATGAGAACTCTTCCATTGTGCGACATCCCTGGAGGCATATTCCCCCTTCAGCAGTGCAGGCATTTTAAGAACCGCTGGGAGCTGTACCATCAGTCTGCATGCTGATCTATGATGAGTAAATGTTGCTCGAACAGTTTTTGTCAGTGCTGATTTACTTGCTTTGTTTGTTTAGGGTTGTAATAATAGTATTAAAAGTCTTTGCTCCTGATGTATTTGACATTGTGCCATTGGTCCATTAGGATTTGGTGGAGTGTTGTGCATTATTTTTAATTTGCATTCACAGTATGCTCTGTAATAACTCACTCTGAATTCTAGCAATGGATGCTGTGAATTTGTATTAACAGCAGCGCTGTTTTGTGCAATGTGTAGGAAAATTCTTTGCAGATGAATACTTACCGCTTCATGTCCTTTAGCATAGCAGATCAGAGTTTCCAAATAACAACAGAGACTTTTTTAGCAAATTGTTCCTTGGCTAATCGTAATGAGAAGGATTTCAGCTTGGATGGAAAACACTGACACAAGCTGCCGTTGATGCCAACAGTTTACATGGTTTCAAAAAGCAATTAGACACAAATACGGAAAAAAATCCATGAAAGGCGACTAAACACAGATAGCTCTGGTTCAGAACTTCCCTGAACCATTGATTGCTGGAAGCTGAGAAAGAATCCTAGGGACAGATCACTGCACAGTTCTTCCCTAGGAGTCTGCTGCTGGGCACTGCCTGAAGAACATGCTGTTCTAGTCTAACCCAATAGGGCCTTTCTTACAGTGTGGTGTTAAGGAGTCATGCTGAGAGTATTTAGGAAGAGAGAAGGGAAAAAAAACCCACCTCTCCCTTCAGGTTAACAACTTGCGAGTTTTCAGGGTTTCTGTATTGCAATCCTCCTTTGCATCTAAGTAAAATTTAGATCCTTCCACCCCCCCCGTCAGCTTCCTTTGGGAGAACATACACGCTGGACTGCACTACAATCATGGGCAGCTCAGTTCCTGTGGTGCCCTTAATTGGATGAAACCTTGCACAGTGGCTGCCAGTAGAGCACTAATTTTCAGTAGTTTCTGGCCTCAAGTTCGCTTATGCTACAAGAGGCATTTTTGGCAATGAATATTTATCTGCCGTGAGACAGGATGATGATTGTTAAAGAGGAGAAGCTGGTTACTTGGTTAAACTAAACAGAGGATCTCGTGAAGCACACATGATACATTAACAAAAATCATAGCCAGCTTACAACGGTGAAAAATCAGTAGTGTTGTGCACAAGAGGCAAGTCCTACACTAAGTGTGACACCTTATGAGACCCTCAGCAACTCTGAGACTTCTCCATGTGCCCTTTTTTCACCTTGACTTTCTCTGGAGAGTGAACAGTGACCTACAGGATGAGTTGTCCCTGGCACACTTGATGAACATCTCAAAACTGGGGTACACACAAGTGCTTTTAAACACCTAATACTTCAGCTAGTTTTATGTAGATCTCAACAGACTGTTTGCCAGCAAATTTAGTTATTACATTATTATTTTAATAAAGCCTAATTTGTAAGTTGAGGACACAAAATATTGTCCTGAAAGAATAGTGAAAAACGTTAAGGCAAGACTGAAAAAGCATGGCAGCAAGAACCACACAAGGTAATTATTTAGTTTGGAATTAGCTTTTTTTTTTTTTTTTTTTTTATTTTTTTTAATGGGGTACAGGAATGCACTTTTTTTTTTTTCTGTTTTTATTTTGTGAAATGATCTGGACTATTTGATGTCCTGGAGTTTAGCAGGCAGCACCTCAGTTCTTGCTATTTATCATTATTTAAACCATGCTGCCCAAAACTGTGGGTGGAAACAAATGAAAGAGTTGTGAAACGCAAGGAGCCAATGACTTTCTCCCAGTCTAAAACACATATGCTTTGGTTTTGTGGGTTTGTTGGATTTTTTTTTTTTTTTTTTTTTTTTTGGCTAAGAGCACTCACATTGATGACTACACTAAAAATACTGAAATAGTAGTCTCGCACCAACACCTCACTCTGGGGACTCACATGCTTTGCCACACCGTGAGACTCCAGTTTCACCAAATATTTTTAGTACCTCTCCTTCCTAATTGTACCAGTCATCTCCCCTCCTATTTACAATAACTAATATCCCTATGACAGCTATTGCTTAGATGAGAAGGCAGCATTAGGAAAGCATTTAATGAACATTAATTGCTTCTTAATATGATTTAGCTGCTGGAAATAAGGCAGCTAAGATAGCTCCATGTGACCAGCAGCCCTACAGGCACTACCATCATACTCCTTTCGAGATGCAATTCTGTCGTCCTGGGGGGCAGCAGCCCTTCACAGATGAGACCCAAGGCTACATTTTACTTTTCCAAATTAGCAGCTAAGTAGGATTGCAGAAACTCAGCAACAAAGTCATCATGACACCACCTGGCTGATTAGTGATCTTCTCCTTCTGTGCGAGCCAGCAATTACCAGTTCCCACTGACTTCGGAAGCTAATGGGAATCAGAGGCTGGGGGATGCTGCCAAGATGCAGCAGCTTCCAGCTGTCAGAGGGAGGACTGGAGGGGACACACTCTCAGTGTACACTGTTCAGTCTTTGTCTTTTCCCATGTGGCATCTTTGGCACCTATGCCTTTATCATTTTGACCCTCTACAATGTGTTACCTGACACCGTCGCTTCTGACATGGCAATATGATGCAAGAGAAACTTGATCTTTGAATCCAACACTCCTAAATTTGAATCCTGATTTACCATTGATTCTCATCTCACCCTTTAGTTAAGTCACTTAACCTCTCTACTAAGCAGCTCTTCTAGGAAATTGAGGCTGGTAACACCTAGAGATATTGTGACAATCAGTCAATAAATATTTGTAAAGTTGCTGGTAAACAACAAGCACCAAGTGCCAAGTCTAATTTAAACAGATATAGCTTATAATCTTCCCATTTTCTTTGCAAGAACTTTAATTTGACACAAAGATTAACCTTCTGATGGGGAAAAAATTCTGATATTATAGACTGGTGTTGGCAACAGACCTCTAACTTGAAATACAATGTTCCCACTGACCTCACTAAATTTCCCATGGATTAGCTGACAGTGATACTACTGCAGAGGAAAATAACAGTGAGAGAAAAAAAACAAACACTTTTCTGGAATGTAATTCTTAGCCTTCTTCCATTCAGAGCTGAAACAGAATGCCACTAGACATTCCAAAATGGAAGATTTATTGTTTACATAGTGTATTTAATGGATATTATAAACCAGCTGATAATATCCACTAATATAAGTAGGAGTCTTCAAGTTTTACAGAGGTAATGTAGGATTGACATTTCTAGTATCTGCTAACCAGTGAACATACATGTACCTCGAAAAGCTTGACTGTTGGCCCCTACATGTTCATATACAATGTCAACTGAATTTATAGGATAGGCCTGAAGCTGAAGTAAGTTTTTGGAAATGGTGTTGAAACACCTTCACATTCAAGACAGCCTTGAAACAGTAAACTTCTTCCAGACTTCAGAAGTCTTAACGCTGGCTTTGTTTCTCTATGACAATTAATTACTTCAAAGCCAGGAGGCTGAGCTGTGCCCACAGGTGGACTGTGCAATGAGCCAGTCCAATATCTACTACCCCTTAGCAACATCAGCCTGCAGCTGCTTCTAGCTCCCTCCCACCAGCACCCACAGCACTGCTCACCGATGAGCTAACAAATGCCCTAAAACATAATTAGATGTTTCCTGGCATAGCCCATCACAGCTGGTGCTGCTCTGTTCCTCTGATGGACCGCAGGCATGCTGCTTCACATTGTCATACCTAACCACTTACCAGTCAGAATATCAAGTCCCTTGTTACTTCATTTATACAGCTGCAGCAGAGCTCTTATTCTGAGCCTTTCCAGCCATTGTTTGAGAACATAAGAGCAGCTCCAAGGCTTAAGAGAACACTTGCAGATACAGAAAACGTAAGTATAGAGAAGAATCTGCAGAAACAAGCTGTCTGCTGGCTCACAACTGAAAGGCTGCTGTGAGGTACAGCATCTCTACTCCCCGCTCTCGTAATAAAGGGGGCTAATTAATGGCACCTCATCACCTTGCTGGGTTTCTCACAGCAACGGCTGGCCCTATTAAAACAACACTAACTGCACAATTAGGTAAAAAGATGCAAGCTTACTCCAGAAACATTTCTTTACCAATACATTTTTTAAAAACAAAACAAACACCACACTGAACGTTATTTCGGAACAAGATCAAGATGTATTAAAGCAGCAGTGACCCCCCCGCCGGCCAGCGCGGGCTGCCCGGGCCCCCCCCGGCGGCTCCTTGCCGGGATCCCCGCTCGCCGATCCCGCCTCCGCCCGCTCGCCGGCACCGCAGCCCCCCTTCCCCCCAATTAAAGTTTCGACGGTATTTTAGGTAGC